TTTTTAAAACGGCTAAGGCCCTTCACCTGCCTGACTATCCAACATAATATTTATTTTGGACAAATGGGGCCCTCTAAACAGACTTCGATTGCGAAGACTTCCGCCTAGAATATACATAGTTTTCTGGAATCTTGGCCCAAATACGCCTGCCACAGTACTCTTGTCGTCCATCTTTGATCCGTCGGCATACCAAACTTGGGACCCTTCGTCAATCATAGTTATTATCACTCCACAGCGTTCCCTTTTATCAATTCTGACCTTGTAGAGTATGTAAAAGAATAGCTCGGGATTATCGGGGAATGGTCCTAGAACCTCCAAATGACCCCGACGGTTCCAATTGTCTTGCTGATCATATTGGGAAGTCGTAGGGCATTCCAACCGGCCTCCTTTTCAAACAAAATAGACAAATGATGAACGCCTTTAATGAAACCAAGGGCATCCTTTGGACAGGTGCCCATAGCTCCTGTGATGTCCACGCGGGCCAGTCTGTGCAACTGGGGCACCCAATAACGGGTCTTACTAACGCATTTAGTAGGTTAGTTTTGGTGATATTCCCCAAGTCTTAGCATGCAGTCTCTGTCAGGTGGATAATAGTGGACTTCATATTGTATGCACATATATTGTCAATAATAAGGGTACACGTTGTACTTACTAAGTATATTTACATCTTTACGGTCCCCGCTATACGAAGGCACCGATGAAATATTTGTGTAAACCAGGTTGCTAAAATGTTTGGAGATATATATCTTATATTTTTAGCAAATACCTATTATTGCCGCGGAACCTACCAAAATCCAATCTAGCCTACCAACCTACCAAATGGAAAAAAACCTACCAGTTTTGGTAGGAAACCCCCATGTTTGGCAACACTGGTTGTTATACAATTTTCCAGTAAAATTTTGCTATTTGTTACTATACACACCTATTTTATGTAAGTACATAAGTATGTCTGCCCTACATATCTGCAACTAGGTCACCGTTTCCAGTATTGCAGGACTTTGCACTGATCTCGAAAATTGCCGTAGGACGATTTGCCGAATGGTTTGAGGAGCGTTCTATCCCCGGGAAGGACCCAGACCAGAAACCAGTTCAATTAAAAATTGTCCCGACTGTGTTTCTACCATGAGAAACTTTTTATAAAAGCATTTGTCTTTCGAAGGCGGTATGATATTGTTGGTCCTCAATTTGTGGAATAAGTTCAAGACTGAAGAAAGCTCTGCGAAACACTTATCGTAAGTAAGCGCCAAATACCTATTCAGCCTTACATATCCTGAGTTTCGCCAGAAAACAAATTCACCCGAAATTTTTTCAGCCGCCCGTAGTGAATTCACATAGACGAAAAGTGAACGATTTCGGGCGAATATTAAACTCATCATAACGCTGATAAATGTAGCCACAACTAAAATGTCATCTCGGATAATTGAGTTCCTTTCCTGATCATATTTTTTCAATTGATTTTGTTGAGTATACAAATATACAAGAATGCTTATATACTTATGTAAGCGTACATGCATATTAAGGCAATCAGCGAGGATGACAAAAAGAAAGAAATTAGCTTTAATGTGTGATAGGCAAATCTGAGTTATATATGTAGCTACGCAACAATAGCCATGACAACGGATCGCAATTCGTCAGATGTTCGTTGTCACCTAATAATAGGTATGTATGTCGTTATGTATTTTGAAGTTTGATTTAAGTATTATTTCTTACTCAGGCTGGTTAAGAGTTAAAGTTGCGTGCGTTAAGAATTATACCTCAAAGAACTATAAACAAGTAGTGCAAAAATAACTCGAAGGAATTGATTGCGCTACTCTCGCATGAATTATAAAGAAAATGGTGCGCTTGTAAATATTATTGGCTGGCAAATTTGTACGCTTTAATCACTAAAGTCTGATCCGAGCAAACATTTCTTGTGATTTGGGTAAAATTTATGACGAAGAGGTTAAAGGCAAAGAAACGGTTTATTGAAACAATTTACTTACGCATATTTTTACATGCATGCATATGGACATATGTATGTATGTGTGTTAATATGTTTGTACCTGCAAAAAATGGGACTAATCCGGGATGAATCTGGGAGCAATCGCAAAGGAGCATGCGACTAATATCACTTTTGATCTCTTTATATGGAATGAACTGATCGCTTTTGTTCGAGCATGTCCTATGAAGAGACTAATTGTTCACCTTTATACCCGAACGGGTATGAAAAGCGATTAGTCACTTGTAAAAAACCGGGGTGCTCAGTTTTGTTAGGCGAATACTCTCTCTGTGTGCCAACGCCGCACTTGAAATTTCATTGACTAAGTGCGTACATATCATTAAATCGTTAATAGTATCCGTTAGAGATGAGTTGGGGACTAATTGATCTCCAATTATACCAATAAGGGATGAGTCGAGACTAATTGACCTCCATTAGTACCCGTATGAGACTAGTTGGGACTAATTAATGCCCAATTGTACCCGATTGAGAGTAATCTCGGAATACTCGCTTTAGAGATTAGTCGCACAATTTTTTGCAGGGTATGTATGTAGTTTCGAAGGTATGTAATTGTGTATGTACGTTCATACAATTAGGGCCAAATTCACAGTGCAATTTGGCAGTTAACTACAGATTTTCAGTACGCACTGTGAGTTTGGCCCTTAGAGTATCACCCACTTAACTGGGCATAAAAAATGCACGAGTTTTTCTTTATTTACCCGATGTTCGTTTAATTGAAAAATTCGTCCAATTGAAAAATCCTATTATGTTAAACGATTTTTATTAATCTAATTGGAGTTCAAACGCAAAATTTTACGAAACTGAAACAATGAAAATGACAAAATAACAATTGTATGTCCAAATATGTTCTAATACTGAGTATGTGCGCTAACGTTAAAACAAATGTAATGCCATGTAATTCTAATTCAATTTGGTCCGATTCCCTTTTAAGTACCTACCACCAGTTTTGGGTGAGGAGATGTATTAACCCTGCTGTAAATAAATAATGTAAAATGTTTTTAAACCAACGAAAATAAACAAAATAAAATCAGTCATGCGCTTTTGTTAAGCGTACTAAGTAAAATCTAAATGGTAAGTGTTTAATTTTCGTTGGAGGCATGTTTCTAAATATGTTCATTTCAGTAATTATCCTTACCATTTAGCTTTTAGAAACCCTGTTTTAAAATTTTTTCTTACATTATTTTATGTTGAACTCCTTATTTAAAATTTTTCCCCTAACGTGCTACATTTAACCCCAACAAATAAACAAATTTTTCAATAAATTTTGAATTCAATTAGGTAATATATATCCTGAATATAAACAAAATCGGACCATAGATACCGATTTTTTCAAATTATATCGACTCTCGCGCCACCTAACCGCTAAGTTTTTTATGGACTTATTTATACATATATGTATGTCAGTAATTTATATCAAAACCGCAAGTAATGAATATTATTTTAAGTACAACTCAAAAAATCCTGCTGAAAGAGAAATTCTGCATGCAGAATTTCATACTATGCATACTCCTTTGTTACTCAACCTACCTTCAGCGGCACTAATTCTTAGTTTTTAAGTTTTATTTAAAAATCAGGTTTAATTATTATTTTTTTTGTTTTATTTTTTACTTCAAAAATAGTTATATTTATTGCTTGGAAAGTAACCGTTATTGTTTGCCTTTTACTATTTTCATTCCTCAAGAGTTAAAAATTACTATCTTCTTTATATAGTATAAAGGAAAGTCGAGATATTTTGACCACCTAATCTCAAAAACTACTGAACGGATTTATACGAGATTTTTAAAATGTAATATGTATCAGTCTAAAAAATTATTAGATCCGCACTGTTCGTTGGATTACTAGAAATGAGGTGTCAAATAAACGGGCTCGGCTTTTATATCGTCGCTGGAATAATGAAATAGTGTAACATGAAAAGTATAGTTTTGTGAAAAACGAATTGAAGTTTCTATAAACCATTACAAACCATACGGATACAATTTCAGTTTTCGGGAATAAATTAGTGAGCCAAAGAGATATTTAAGAAAACTAAAGATTTTTCTAATAGATTAAAGGATTGTCTATCCAATGGTGCAATTATCGAATAATAGTGTATGTGGCATTTACACTGTTTCTTTATTCGAGCGACGATATGTTCAATAATGTATTACTTTTTGAGTAGGGTTGCCCCTTTTTAAAAATTATAAGATCTTCACCGTTTGTTGGACTAAAAACTGAGGTACCAAGTGAAATGATATGGTCTCTGCATTTGCAATCAGTATTGTCACTTGAAAATATTTTTAGGTACCAAAACGCATACCAAATCAGTTTCCGAACTACCAAAATTTGTTCATTATTAAAACGAGATTTCTCGAGCTTGCGAGGTTTTTAGCTACACAAATTAGCAGTAAAAATTAAAACTGCACGTAATATTGTTTACAGTATTGGTTAATTATTCACACCAATCTTTCAGATTAAACAAAAGAAATTCGGGCCTTTAAAAAAATAATTAAGTTATTTTATAAAAAACTTTTGTAAAATAAGTAAATATCTTTGAGATTGATTCAATTCATATCAACAAATTTTTTTTTTGTGTGTGAATAAACAAAAGCAGACATTTTATGCATTTCAATAAAAAAAAATCCAAATTTGATTCAATTTGCATATACTCACCCTTTTTTATTACCAATACACTCACACCTTGCAAATTGCCTATCACCAATTTTTCTTTCAAGACAAGAGGTAATTTCTCGTTAATTTCAACAGCTAATCGGTTATAGCTTTGGAAAGTGAGTTTTTGTTTGCAGAAAATTGTCTGTTTAATAAAATAAAGAAAAAATAAAGAAATCTTATACGTGTAAGCAAAGTGAAAGCAGTGTTTTGAACGGGTAAACTTAAATTAAGCAAACAAATTTTAATGTTCAGTTTGATTGTATTTTCAAAACAATTTTGCCTACCAAAAGCTTCATCAAACCAACCAAGCTACCAACGGAGAATGAAGCTACCAATTTTGGTCCAATTGGACCAAAACGGCAACGCTGTTTGCAATAAGTTTTCATCTTTTGTTTGAGTGGGGTTGCCACCCATTTAAAAATTGTATATGTATAATAATACGCGAAGGCATTTTTTGTTAATTACATTAGATTTGCACATTTGATTAAATTAAAAAAAATTATGTGTCAAACGAAAAGGCGTGACCTTCCGATTTGCAGTAAAGTTTTATATTTCGAAGAGGATTGCAACCTGTGCGAAAAATTAAAAAAATTGGGGTCTCCGTTAGGTTACAAGAAAGGAGGTGTCAAATGAAAGGGCTTGGCCTCCAGATGCGCAATTATATATTATTTTTTTAGTAGGGTTGCAACCTGTTTAGTTGTCATCTTATTTAACATCCACACATTCAGCGCGTGGCGGAGCCTCGCGCATACGAGGCCGGCTAGTTAAAAATAAAATAGATTTAAAGAGCTTTATGAAGTGAGATTTTCAAACAAATTTTCGATTTAGGAAGCATTCTTTATTTTTTATGAATGTGGGCTTAGTTAATATATTTTCGAAAGTATTTAGAAAGTAGGTAAAGTATAGACTTTGTCCTGGAAATTTAATTTATAATCATATAACGCGAGTCTACATACCGCGCGCATCTTCAAAGGTGTTTTAATTCAAAATTTGTCGCAAAAAATATTCAAATACCGCATACTTACAAATCTTCCATAAAAACCATAAAAAGCAGAAATTTCTACAGTATTAACTTATAGTTTTAGGTGTTGTGAGAGGGAGTAATAAAACTAAATCACTTTGAAAGCGCTGTGAAGCACGCGGGCTATTTACTAGGTGAAGATATTTCTAAATCAAAATTTTCGAAAAAAATTTCGTATGGGTTTGATACCCATAGTGTAATATTTAACTAATCTTATCAATTTAACTGAATTAAATTTTCATATATTTTTGACAGGCATTTCAAAATTTCACTACTACTACTAGGGCTTCAGTGGTAGTGCATTTCAAATTTCACTACCACTATATGGTTAGTGATAGTGAAAAATTGTTTTCACTACCACTATGCACTTAGTGGTAATGCATTTCCCATTTCACTACCACTACCCGAATAGTGGTAATGAAATGCTCAGTGCATTGAAAGTTTAGTGCAGCGTGCCCAACCCTGGATACTGATATTTCAATATTTAATATTCTTATTAATTAAAGTAAAATTTTCAAACGGTGGTAACCATCCAAAAAAATATTTTCGTCTGTAAGCCTTCTTAAACCTCATCGTTTTACCAACTATACTGCAATATTTACTTTATCTTGTCAATTTACTTAAACTGAAATTTTCAAACAGGTGGCCACTCTAATTTTTTTTTTCTATATTTTAAGTTAGACCTCTAGTAATGCATCGGGGAAAACTGCATTAGTTTTTGAGTGTTGCGCATACAAACATACAGGCAAAAATTCCAAAAAATGGTTGATTTCGCTTCCGTTGCTCTAATAAAAACCCCCTATATACATTTTTCTTTAACTTTTATTAAAAAAAAAATAAAACCTTACTGCACATCTGGAGGTCCAGTCCTTTCATTTGCCTACTCACTTTTTAGTCCAACGAACAGTCCACATCTTATAATATTTCGTATAGCCGACAACCCTTTTCCAAAAAATAAAACCTCATTGCACATCCGAAGACCCTATTTTT